ATCCTCGGTAGAGTGCTTTGGCGTCATAGCTCACAGCAACCTCAGACTCTTGGTCAGTAGACTATAGGCGCCCACCACAGAGCCAGGCTTTTTTTTTTTTTCTTTTTTTTTGCAGTTTTTGGCTGGGGCTGGGTTTGAACCCACCAGCTCCGGTATATGGGGCCGGCATCCTACTCCTATTTTTAGAGACAGTATCACTCTAGCTCAAGCTGGTCTCCATCTCCTGAGCTCAGGCAATGCTCCCGCCTTGGCGTCCCAGAGTGCTGGGATTACAGGCGTTAGCCAGTCCAACTCTTTTCAGACGGTGTGATCTGGGCTCATGGCTTTCAGTGCCGCAGTACACTGACCAATCTCAAGTGCTTTGATAGGTTCTGTGAACTCCAGTTTCATGGAAACAGTACACACTTCAGCCTCTCCAGTTGTGTGTTGAATTGACAGTACAAATTTTGTGTGTCCAAAGCCCATATTCCCTGACCCCCATCTAAACCTGCTCCTTCCCCATTGAGTTAATTTATTCGGCTGTTCAGACCAAGAGCCTTGGACTCACCCTTGACTTCCCTCTTAACCTTCACATCTGTTCTGACTGCAAATCTTGCCCATTCCATCTATGGAATACATCCGGAATCTGATCACTTCCCTTCTCATCATTTCTACCCCTACAATGCTACAAGAAGCCACAATTAGTCGGGTCAGAATTATTGCAGAAGTCTTACAAAATTTCCCTCCATGGCTGCCTTTGACCCAGTAGTTTATCCTCAACACAGCAGCTGAAGAGATTTTGTTGAAATCTAACTCAGGGCTCTGCACCTGTTGCTCAAGCAGCTAACGCACTAGCCACATGCACCAGTGCTGGCGGGTTCACATCCAGCCCTGGCCAGGTAAACAATCAATGACAACTGCAATAAGAAAATAGCACAGTGTTGTGGTGGGCGCCTGTAGTCCCAGCTACTTGGGAGGCTGAGGCAAGAGAATTGCTTGAGCCCAGGAGTTGGAGATTGTTGTGAGTTGTGATGCCACAGCCCTCTACCCAGGGCAACAGTGTGAGGCTCTGTCTCAAAAAAAAAAAAAGAATCTAACTCAAACCATGTCATTCTACCCACTATTTTCCACCCACTGATCCTGTGGGTCACACAGTGAACATCAGACTCCTTCCTTTGGCTTATAAGGACATACATGATTTAGCTTTGTTATTTTCCTTCTCCCTTCTATTGCAGCCACTCCTTCTTCACTGAGAACTTTAGTACTTCATTCTAGTCTCTGCTCAAATGTCACCTCCAGAGATGACTTCCCTGACTGCCCCATTTAAGATAATACCATCCGGCTTGGCGCCTGTGGCTCAAGCGGCTAAGGCGCCAGCCACATACACCTAAGGTGGCGGGTTCGAATCCCCAGCCCGGGCCCGCCAAACAACAATGATGGCTGCAACCAAAAAATGGCCAGGCGTTGTGGCGGGTGCCTGTAGTCCCAGTTACTTGGGAGGCTGAGGCGGGAGACTCGCTTGAGCCCAGGAGTTGGAGGTTGCTGTGAGTGTGATGGCATGGCACTCTACCCAGGGGGATAGCTTGAGGCTCCGTCTCAAAAAAAAAAAAGATAATACCATCCACATCACTCTACATCCCTGTACTCAAATTGCTTTTCCTTCATAGCATTTATCCCAGACATATCTATTTAATTATTTGTGTTGTCTGTCTCCTTCACTAGAATGTAAATATTTTGAGGCAGGGATATTGTTTTGGTCACTGCTGTATCATTAGGGTGTAGCGTAGCTCCTGGTACAAGGAAACTGCCCAGTAGAAATTTGCTGTGCGAATGAACAGCTAGATGGAAGCAAAGCGCAGGGAGGGCATGTGGCAAACTGAGTGACAAATGGTGAGAAGCCTCGTATCACAGAAAGGGGGGAAGCAGGAGAGAGAGTTGTGATGGGATTGGTGGCTTCCAGGAAGGGCTGTGAAATCCCTGGTTCAGTAGAAGGTCCATGCCAGGGAGGTGAATTCTTATTCCTATTTTCCCCTTCTTATTCCAGGCCTGAGACCTAGCTTACCTTCTCATGATTCCTGAATGAGCTCATCCTTTCCTATCTACAAACTGGAAATTCCCAAATTTACAAATCCATTCCAGATCTCCGGACTGCCATGGCCGTGATAACTTCTTGGTGATGCAATTGCTTGGATGTCCCACAGGCACTTTCAGCAGAATGTGCAAAATTACCTGCATCTACTTGTCTCCTCTCTCCAAATAAACTGCCGTTTACCACATTCTCTGTACTCATCACTGGCCTTAGGACCCACTTAGGTGTCCAATCCTTAAACCAGGATTTCTTATCTAGTATACCCCATAAGTCACCAATCTTGCAGATTCTGCTTTATGTTCTGCAAGTCATAGTTTTCTGTACTATAGAACACGAGGAACTATGCATAATGCAGCTGATTGGTATGGTATCCTGTGGTGTATTGTACATATGAATTTCTATTTTATGGGCTAGAAAGAAGATTGAGAACTGTTACTGTAGCAGCATCCTAAAATCCAAAACCCCTGTTGCTATCCTACTTGTTTCCAGTAGCCTACAGGAAAAAAAAATTTCTTCCCCATTGAAACTTTTCAGCAATATAAGCTCTAGAATTTCTACGTTGGAAGGGCTCAGGGGTGACAGAATGTTGGAAGGAGAGACTGGGAGTATTGGAGACTTGTCTAAAGCTGTTCTACCTAGTCTTATATTTGTTTATATTTGTTTTTGCTCTGTGAGACTGGGAGGTGGGTGATGGAGAATATGAGAGAAACAAGGCCTCACCAGCCTTTGGTGTGGCCACTGCTATTCATTGCAATTCCTAGCATACTCTCTGCACACCTTAGGCTCTGGCCACACTGAATTGCTTCTCAGAACATATGTCTCTTGCCTATATTAAAAAAAAAAAAAAAAGAACATACGTCTCGCTCTCCCTCCTGTAATCATTCCTTCATCTCCTGTTTGGTCTGAAATGCTCTCTCTTCCCTCTCATTTGCAGACAAGATTCAAAGTCACCTTCATATGATGGACAAAAATTAGCTCAAAATAGGCCAAAGGCCTAAATAGCAGAGCTTACACTACAAAAATCTTAGAAGAAAACATTTGGGTAAATTTTTTTCTTTTTTTTTTTTTGAGACAGAGTCATACTATGTTGCCCTCAGTAGAGTTCTGTGGTGTCACAGCTCACAGCAACCTCAAACTCTTGGGTTTAAGCGATTCTCTTGCCTCAGC